GATCGTTTAAATAGGGGAGGTGGTGTCGCCTTATATATTTCCTCTGCATTGAAATATTGCGTTCTTGATCCTCCTATTGATGATTCTTCAGGCTTAGAGTATTTGATTGTTAAATTGACTATTAAAAAACTGCATCTTGTCGTAGGGGTATTTTATAAACCTCCTCATATAAATTACTCATGTTTCTCGGTGTTAGAAGATGTTTTTAATTTTTTCAGCATCAATAATCTTTCTCACTACTTATTACTGGGTGACTTTAACATTGATTTGTTGACTTCAACTACTGCCAGTAAATTTTTACTTCACACAACGACCATTTACGGATGCGTTCAATTAATTAATTCTCCAACAAGAGTAACCATTCATAGCGAAACCCTGCTAGAACCTATATTTGTTAGTAAATATATCCCTGTGTTAAACTCAGGAGTATCTGATTTTTGTATTGCGGATCACAACGCTGTTACTTGCCAACTCAATTTATATATGGAAAAGCAAAAACCTTATTCTAGAATCAGTCGCTCTTTCAAAAATTTCAACCTTGAATTCTTTAATAGAGATGCATCCACTATTGACTGGAATTACGTATACACGTTACCTGATGTTGACTCAAAAATCGAATGGTTAAATGAATCAATTCTTTTTCTTTTTAATACACATGCTCCGCTGCAAACAGTAAAAATTTCCAATAGAAAACAACCTTGGTTCACTGAAATACTTGACTTAATCCGAAAACTAAAGTGTAAAGCATGGCTTCGCTACAAAAATACCAGAAATTTAACTCACAAAAAATATTTCTGTCAGCTGAGAAACTATTATAATACTGCATTACTCAATGAAAAGAAGGCATATTTCCATTACAAATTCAATAAGTATGGGAATAATAATAAAAATATGTGGCGGGAAATAAAATCTTTGGGTATTGTTGGATCAAACAGTAAACTTCCCTCTGACTTAACTGATGTGGAGGTAATTAATAAACATTTTCTTTCAATTGTTCCTAATAACCTAACTCCTGACCCTAACTATAAAGCTTCTTTTTTGTCTAGTTCATTTTCGTCTCAATATTTTACGTACAAGCCAGTTGATGAACAAACCATTAGTCAAGTAATTAATAAACTAAAACCAAATGTGGCCGGAATTGATGAAATATCAGGGAAGATGCTACAAATTAGTTTAGACTGGATTCTGCGTCCATTAACGCATATTATCAATTTCTCGTTCGAACAAGGAATTGTTCCTAAATTGTGGCATCTTTCTGTTGTCACCCCAATTCCTAAAAAATCTGACCCCAAATCCTTAAATGATTTGAGACCCATCAGTCTACTGTGTAATACCCTTAAAGTTGCTGAATCGGTTTTCTTGGAACAAATGAAGGAGCATTTCAATGAGTTGGGCATTATACCTAATGTTCAATCAGGGTTTCGAAAAAATTATAGTACATCTACTCTTCTGGCTTCTCTAACAGATGATATTTTAAATGGTTTTGATAATGGTCACATTACATCTCTTACACTTTTAGATATGTCAAAAGCTTTCGACAGTTTGGACATAGATCTACTTTCAGTTAAACTGGCGTACTATGGTGTTGCAGGGCAATCCATGGTGTGGATGCAAAACTATTTGCACAATCGTTCCCAAATTGTTCATTATGAAAATAATTTCTCTTCTTCTCTTGATCTGTTCTCTGGCGTTCCTCAAGGCTCAATACTGGGGCCCTTTCTTTTTTCCGTTTACACTGCAGACTTACCAGATGTAGTAAAATCCTGTTCTATTCATATGTATGCGGATGATATACAAATTTATTACACTTTTCCTCCTGATTCTGCTTTTATGTCGTCCAACCTTATCAACCTGGATTTGAAAAATATCCATCTGTGGTGTCAAGAAAATTGCCTGGGATTAAATTTTGCGAAATGCGAAACTATAGTTTTTGGTACTGTTGCCAAGTTGAACCAGTCCAGAGATCTTGTCTCTGTAGTAATAGGTGATAACGTGCTCAAACCGCAAATGTCTGTAAAAAGTCTGGGTGTCATCCTTGATCAGCAACTAAAATTTGTTGATCATGTTGACTTCATTTGCAGAAAAACTTTTGTCTCCTTGAAACAAATCTCCTTTCTTAGAAGTTTTCTAAACACGAATACTAAAAAACTCTTGTCTGATGCACTAGTATTATCCCACTTAAATTATGCTGACGTGGTCTATGGCCCTTGCCTTTCTATGGCGCAGAAATATCGTTTGCAGAAGGTACAAAATTATTGCACAAGATTTGTTGTCCACGTGCCTAGGTTCTCACACATCACACCATTTATAAGACACCTAAATTGGCTCACTACAACTGAACGACGCTTTGTCCATTTCAGTATGTTTGTTCTGAAAGTCTTAAATACCTCTCGTCCAGCATATCTTCGACAGAAAATCATTATGCGATCGATGATCCACAACAGATATCTTAGGTCAATAGACTTTATGGCTGATGTGCCTGAACACCGATTGTCCAGCTTTAAATCTTCGTTTGCTTACCTAGCCTCACTTATTACTAACAAGATTTTGATAAGGTACCGAGACCGTGGGAGTATCCACACAGTAAAGAAGCATATCTGTGAAGATCTGGTGGCAGGTGTCGCAACCCAACTTGTTGACTTGAAACTATTTTAATGTATGTAAATAATTTTAATGGATTCTTTATATCTTTGTATTGTAAAAACAAATTATTTAGATTACTTGGTAGGGCAAAATTATATCAGTTTTAAACTGTTTTTGTTCCTTTTGGATCTTTTTTTTTTTGGATTCAATAAATGTATTATTATTATTATTAATAAATTTCTTGTTTTGCGTGGGATGATGATTTCAGTTTGAAAAGTACCGATTTTCGGAAAAATTGTGACCCATTTTAAAAATAATTATTACTAGCTTGTTCAACAAAAATTATTAACTCATAGGGTTTTTTTGTTATGGCAACTGCAATCAACAAGTGGTGGACTTTAAAAAAATACAGAATATATCATTTTGAATAGGTGCGGTGTAATAATCTTGTATGCTCAAAATTTCGGGAAAATGGGGTTGTTCAGATCAATAATATAGATTATTGCCTCATTCATTAATTTTTTTGGGTCATGCTGTATAAGTAATTCTAAAAAATATGAATATGTTAATGAACCACAAATTTTAGATAGGACTTTAGATAATTTTGAATTGAAGTCATCAAAGTAAATAACATCAACTGAATTACCGCGATCAATTTCTTTGGTCCATTTATCTAAACTACTAAGGAGATACGTAACCGTGGAGTGACCAGGCAGAAAATCGTGCTGTGTGGTAGGGATTATATCAGTTTTAATTGTAAAATCAACTAGTTGTTTACAAACGATTCTTTCCATTACTTTCTAACACATCTGTAAGACTTATAGGCGATAGTTACTGCAGTCAGTTTTATAACCTTTTTTGAAAATAGGTGTTACAGATGATATTAACCAGTCGGATGGAAGAGAGAAGGAGAGTAGAGGCTGCAACATTATATGAGCCAGTGTTGCGGCTAATTGAAAGGCATATCTTTTGAAGAAAGAAAGAGATATACATATTATCAGGGCCGGGAGCACTATTTTCTGAGAGGTTAAGGAGTTCATGATATCCAACAGCTTCGCTTATTTCGACGGTATCTAAATGAGAAGAGGTTTTCACTACTATATGTGTTTTCGAAGAATTTTTGCTAACTCATTAGCAGATTCAAAGTTAGAATTACACGATTGACCATAGCTGTTTTTTACAACAGGTCGAGAGACTTTGGAGCAAAGTTGACGTTTTGTATATTTGTAAATCGCGTTTGGTCCTTTATTTACCAGACCCTTTTCATTTTTCTTTCAGTTGTCTAGCTTTATTTAAATCATCGATCAGCTTGTTTGAGAAAACACGATGTGTTGTAAAATCGTCACTGTTTTTAGTGGTTTCGTATGAACGCCCTAATTTGCGTTTATATTTAATACGCTTCAATAATTCCCCATTGATCCAAGGGTTTTTGAATATGTTCTATAAAACATGAACATCGGAAATAGAGTAAAATTCGTCCCAGTTAAGATTGTTTAAGAAAATAGACACTTCACCACCAAGTCTGAAACGTGTAGGCTCTTCCACCAGTTGGTAATAATTGGTGTTAAAGTACATTTCAGCAAAAAGAGAACTTGAGTTATTTCCCTCGGAAATATGTGATAACGGCCAACTAATGTCAGGCAAATTGAAATCACCACAAACAATTAAGCCACTATAACGGGTAGATAATGCCGAAAGTTCGTTTATTAGGATTTTATCATTTAACAATGAAGAGTTCGGAGAGCGATATATGCAACCAATATCAAAGGATGCTTCCTTAGACGCTACACAGAGGAAAGTGCATTCCATAGTTGATGAAATAACATTATGAGCAATTTCGCTGATTCTAAAATTTTGAAAATCGGTTTTGTTTAATAAAATACAAACACTACCTTAACGATCTGAACGATAAACTGCATGCATTTGGCGGCTGGTTTATTAGACCGTGGAGAGATGGAGTTGCTGATTACTGGGGTGTAGAGACCCTAAATTGACCCTTTTCCTGTAAGATCGTAAAACTTCCATAGTGACTTTCCGTGCGCACGCATCTTCAAAACCACGTTGGAAATAGTATCCGACACTCCGGCAGCAGAGCAAAGGCCTGTGACAACAAACCGCTTTGACAGAATGCAACCGGAAACACATGCTTAAGATTTTTTTATATTTTATATTTATATATTATATTCTATATATTTATATATATACGTCAATAATAACTTTTGGTCTCGCGCCAGATTTAGGCAACAAGTAATGGGAGTATATGAAAACCACATCCTAGCCTCAAACCTGTCATATCAGTGTTCAAATTTGTATTTATGGTTGCATCATTTACAACAACCGAATGCTTGACACGTTGTAAAGTAGGTAAATATTTGGAGTTATAGTTTAAACTGTTTTCGAGTAAAAGAAAGAAAAAGTGGTATGAATCAGTTTATTCAGAAACAATTTTTTGGAATTAAAACAGCCACATAGAGGCTGAAGAAATTAAGATAATCAAAGAGAAAAGAAAACAACTTAAAACTAGGAAAGCTTACTTCGTAGTAAGTGCAATTATATTCTATGAACATTTAATACTACTATAAAACACCAAAGTAGATTATTCATATTTCTTATGAAGTTAGAGATTGCAATTATTAACAAAGTTGACAACGTATGGATAAAGTTAAATATATATCTTTTAGTCAAAAGAGGTGTCTGCATAATTTGTTACAGTGTGTTTGCAGGTATATTTGTACAATGCAGCAGCTGCTGCATTCACTATCCAAATGTAATGTATAAATAATGATTTGTCTGGTGTATGGTGCGGTCTTAAAATTAGGTATTTTTACTATATTTCAATTGGATAAATATTTTTACACATATTTGTAAATTCTCGTGCTTTGCCAGTTTTAGACGTTGGAATTTTAATTATTAGCGTATCGTTTTTGTCTTGAATGCCGTCATTATTTTTCAATTTATCCATTCCACATGCTCCTACAACTTCTAATAAAAAATAAACCTAAAACATAATGATTTATAGACAATGTGATTGACCTTGTTTGAGATCACCTTTAACATCGTGTACATTTAATCACGGGCTTCTGTTAAAAATTTTGGTAAGTCTTCTCTTGTAAATATATTTGATTTCTTGGCAATGTAACCTATATTTTTTGCTTGAAAACTTGGTGTACTTAGATATATCTATGCTGTTTTTTATTAACAGAGTTGACTTTAACTACGACTATGCAGCCCAAAGTGTTAAAGATTTCACAGAATTTGCTTTTTCAGCGAAATACTCCTATGCAATGAGGTGTTCTCCATATATTTTGCATGGTTGTTTCTGCGCAAAAAAAAAAAAAAATCATACCGCTTTTCATAAACTGTGGCTGAGTTTTTAGGTAATAAATTTGATATATTATCTGCCAGTTTTTGCAAGTTCGGTCGAATGCATGTAAACTGCTTGTTATTATTGCTATCCATCTCTATTTTGCAATTGCTGCAGATCTTTCTGCAAGCAAAAATATTAAAAGTGCCGAAAAATAAGAGGTATGCTTCATACTTTCATTTAAAATGGGCATGTAAGCTAATAATCTGTTCTGTAATAATAATAAAAGCTTATTATAGGTTATGTAGATACAAGAAAATTGTTCAAATTCTTCCTTTCCGCATACTCCTACAACTTCGAATAAAAAATATACCTAAAACATTATGTTTTATAGACAATGTGATTGACCTTCTTTGAGATTACCTTTGACATTAGGTACATTAATCACGGGCCGCTGTTAAAAATTTTCGTAAGTTTTCTCTTGTAAATATATTTGATTTCTGGGAAACATAACCTATATTTTTTGCTTGAGAACTTGGTGTACTTAGATTATATCTATGCTGTTTTATATTAACAGAGTTGACTTTAACAACGACTATGTAGCCCAAAATGTTGATTTCACAGAATTTTCTTTTTCAGCGAAATACTCGTATGCAAAATGAGATATTCTCCATATAATGTTTTCCATGGTTGTTTCTGCACCGAACAAAAACTTATTACAGGTTATGTGGATACACATTGTTCGCTGCCATAGAATGTCGCTGCACTTCAAGAAATCCGCTGTTGCCATGCAAGGTTGCGACGTTGCGAGATTACGCGCAAATTTAGTTAATAAATTATATTTATAAAATTAATAAACCGGATGTGTTTCTAATAACTAATAAAAAGGGTTATCAAAGAGTATAGAATTACTGCTAAACCGAAAAACAATTTATAACCTTGTAAAATGTAATTGTGGAGGTAGATAATACTAATATGACAACACCGCATTTAATTTCTGTGCCGATTTTTGAACATAGAAAAAGCACATTACTGCGCGATTTCGAAAAAAGAAACATTACTATTTTTTAGCAGCTTTTAACCTCTCTTTTTATATTTCTCCAAGAAAGGCGTACATGTCAATTTTAAAATACCAGTTTAAGTTGGAGTAAGAAATTTACTTTTATGGTTGTGTGTACAGGCACTTCTACAATTAGCAGTACAAGTTTTTGTTAATCTCTTAAATTATTTTTCTACTTATGGAGCCAATCTGGATATTTGCTTAAGGGTGTGCTTTAAATTTTAGGAATTAATATCTTGGAACGTCATGCATCGTTTCCATACATTTTTGAGCTTCTGTTTTATTTTCTAATCACTTGGAATTTCATTTCCAAAAACAAAAATTGTACTTGATATGAAGCTCATTATTCCGAAACATGTAATTATAAGATCAAATGTTACTATGCATGAAATGTATTATTTGATATAAAGTAACTTTTGATATCGCATTCTTTAGATTTTTTTCATGGGTACTTTACAGTTAATAGTATCACCATGAAATTGTTTCTTAGATTTGTTTTTCTTTCTTCCGGTATTTGAATCACAATTTGATAATCTTAAAACAACGACAATTAATTTAACTTTAGCTTGAGTTGTGAACCTGAAAGTTGTTTTGTATGAATTTGTGTGACAAAAGTGTACTAAAGATGAAAATAATTACTTATACTCTTTTATAATCATTAATTACATTTGTAGCAATTTTTGGCCTCTCGTATTTTATATTATTTTATCCAAGAAACAAGCGAAATTTGAAAAACCAGTTTAATATTTTAATGGAGCAGTAATTATGAACCCAAATGTTGCTATGGATAAAAACTATTATTTGATTTAAATTAACTTTTGGAATCACAGTCTTTGGATTTTTTTCGTAGATACTCCACAGTAAACAACATAATTATAAATCTGTCCCTTTGATTTATTAATTTCTCAATCCGCCGATATTTGAAAGACGATTTGGTATTCTTAAAACAAGGGTTACTAATTTAATGTCCCCTTGGACTGTGAGCCTGAAAGTTGTTTTGTATGAATCCATATGGGGTCAAAGTGTACTAAAGATGAAAAGAATGACTTCGTTTATAGCAACTTTTGGCCTCTCGTGTTTAATATTTCTCCAAGAATGTTTTTAATTTTGTAAGATATTGGGCCAATAAAACATACACAGACAACATTATTTGCAATTCTTCCAACCACCTATGGATTCATAAAATATCAACTTTTGCATCTTTAATTGAAATATTGTTCAATTCTAATCTAAACCATGAAAACTATAATAAAGAACTTCAGTCCATAAAACAAATTGCAATAAATAATGACTTTAAAGTAAAATTAATCCACAATCTAATTGACAAAATAAGATACAAAATTAAAAAAAAAAACAATGTTGCTCGTTGTTCAAAACGGACCATGATACTAAGGAAGACATAGGTAGATATTATTTTCTGGATTTTATTGAAACATTATCTTACAAAATTAAAAACATACTAAATAGAGTGAATAAAAATGTTAATATTTCATTTATAAAAATTAATTCAACCAGAAATCAGTTACTGAACAACAAAGATAAAATTACTTAACTAGATAAAGCCGGAGTCTATCAATTACAATTTGAATGTTGAGATTGTGCCTTAAATTTTACGAATCCATATCGTGAAATAATACACCTCATGAATTTCACCGGCTTGTGTTGAAATTTCGGGTTTCCAATTTTAAATTTATTAATCTAGTACTTCGTTCCAAAAACAAAATTGTGCCCGGAATGATGGGTTAATTACCTGTTTTCACATATACGAAGCGCACGAGTCCGAAAGTTACCTAACATGCAATTATGAGGCTAAATGTTGCTATGGATGAAAACTATTATTTGACTTAAAGTAACTTTTGGCATCACAGTCTTTAGATCTTTTTTCATAGGTATTTTACACTTAACAACATCATTATGAATTTATTTCTTAGATTTATTTCTCAATCCACCAATATTTGTCTTAACCTCATAGAAAATGTTTCGTCTTATGGAAAAAATCTGAATCTTTACACTTGGGGGTGTGCCTGAATATATAGCACCGAATATTGCCTCACATGAATTTTACTGCCTCGATTTGACCAAATTTTGGGTTTCCGATTTTAGATTTAATCATGTTCCTAGTACTTTAAGATATGTTAGCACATGAGTCCGAAATTATGAGGCCAAAAGTTTCTATGGATGAAAGCCATTATTTGATTTAAAGTAACTTTTGGCATCACAATCTTTAGATTTTTTTAATAGTTACTTCACAATTAATAACACAATTATGACTTTTTCTTTTAGGTTTATTTCTCTTATCTGTTATTAAAATAACTGCTATTAAGTTAATTTTAGCTTGGGTTGTAAGTTTGAAAGTTGTTTTCTACGATTCTGTGAGGCCAAAGTCTACAAAAGAAGAAAGTAATTTTAGGTTAGATGGTTAAACATTCAGCCAATTATTTGTTTTTATTTATACTACTTAAAAAATTTAAATTATCACTTTAACTTTGAATAAAAAAATATTTTTATGAATGAGTCTACAGATACTTCTACCATTCACAGTCTAATTTTGTCTTAACTTCATACAAAATGTTTCGTATTATTGAAAAAATCTGAATCTTTACACTTGGGGGTGTGCCTGATTATATAGCACCGAATATTGATTCACATGAATTTTACTGCCTCGATTTGTCCAAATTTTGGGTCTCCGATTTTAGATTTATTCATGTACCTTGTACTTTACTGTATGTTAGCACATGAGTCCGAAAGTTATTCGTCATGTAATTATGAGGCCAAAAGTTTCTATGGATGAATGCCATTATTTGATTTAAAGTAACTTTTGGCATCACAATCATTAGATTTTTTTAATAGTTACTTCACAATTAATAACACAATTATGACTTTTTCTTGTAGGTTTATTTCTCTTATTTGTCATTAAAATAACTGCTATTAAGTTAATTTTAGCTTGGGTTGTAAGTTTGAAACTTGTTCTCTACGATTCTGTGAGGCCAAAGTCTACAAAAGATGAAAATAATTTTAGGTTAGATAGTTCAACATTCAGCCAATTATTTATTTTTATTTATACTATTTTCGTGTGGTATAGCAAGAATAATGGTCAAAAATCAAGTATTTTAGGATCAAAAAACGGCACATCATTTTCCAGATAATATTAACACTAATAAGTCTAAAAATCTAACCAAATATTGACTTTTTTAATGTGTTATAAGTTTACTGACGAGGTGGCTGAGAAAGGGGATGAACCCTGAAACTGCTATCACCAAAATAGTATAAATAAAAATAAATAATTGGTTGATTGCAGAACTACATAACCCAACTTTATACCCACGCTAATATGGAAACACACATATCAAAATAATTAGCTCATTTATAGCAACTTTCGAACTCTCGTATTTTATATTTGTCTAAGTAGCAAGTACTTAAAAAATTTAAATTATCACTTTAACTTTAAATAAAAAAATATTTTTATGAATGCGTCTACAGATTCTTCTACCATTCACAGTCTAATTTTGTCTTAACTTCATACAAAATGTTTCGTATTATGGAAAAAATCTGAATATTTACACTTGGGGGTGTGCCTGAATATATAGCATCGAATATTGATTCACATGAATTTTACTACCTCGATTTGACCAAATTTTGGGTTTCCGATTCTAGATTTATTCATGTACCTTGTACTTTAATGTATGTTAGCACATGAGTCCGAAAGTTATTCGTCATGTAATTATGAGGCCAAAAGTTTCTATGGATGAAAGCCATTATTTGATTTAAAGTAACTTTTGGCATCACAATCTTTAGATTTTTTTAATAGTTACTTCATAATTAATAACACAATTATGACTTTTTCTTGTAGGTTTATTTCTCTTATTTGTTATTAAAATAACTGCGATTAAGTTAATTTTAGCTTGGGTTGTAAGTTTGAAAGTTGTTCTCTACGATTCTGTGAGGCCAAAGTCTACAAAAGATGAAAATAATTTTAGGTTAGATAGTTCAACATTCAGCCAATTATTTATTTTTATTTATACTATTTTCGTGTGGTATAGCAAGAATAATGGTCAAAAATCAAGTATTTTAGGATCAAAAAACGGCACATCAATTTCCAGATAATATTAACACTAATAAGTCTAAAAATCTAACCAAATATTGACATTTTTAATGTGTTATAAGTCTACTGACGAGGTGGCTGAGAAAGGGGATGAACCCTGAAACTGGTATCACCAAAATAGTATAAATAAAAATAAATAATTGGTTGATTGCAGAACTACCTAACCCAACTTTATACCCACGCTAATATGGAAACAAACATATCAAAATAATTGGCTCATTAATAGCAACTTTGGACCTGTCGTCCTTTATATTTGGCTAAGTAGCAAGTATTTAAAAAATGTAAATTATCACTTTAACTTTGAATAAAAAATATTTTTATGAATGCGTCTACAGATACTTCTACCATTCACAGTCTAATTTTGTTTTAACTTCATACAAAATGTTTCGTATTATGGAAAAAATCTGAATCTTTACACTTGGGGGTGTGCCTGAATATATAGCACCGAATATTGATTCACATGAATTTTACTGCCTCGATTTGACCAAATTTTGGGTTTTCGATTTTAGATTTATTTATGTACCTTGTACTTTAATGTATGTTAGCACATGAGTCCGAAAGTTATTCGTCATGTAATTATGAGGCCAAAAGTTTCTATGGATGAAAGCCATTATTTGATTTAAAGTAACTTTTGGCATCACAATCTTTAGATTTTTTTAATAGTTACTTCATAATTAATAACACAATTATGACTTTTTCTTGTAGGTTTATTTCTCTTATTTGTTATTAAAATAACTGCGATTAAGTTAATTTTAGCTTGGGTTGTAAGTTTGAAAGTTGTTCTCTACGATTCTGTGAGGCCAAAGTCTACAAAAGATGAAAATAATTTTAGGTTAGATATTTCAACATTCAGCCAATTATTTATTTTTATTTATACTATTTTCGTGTGGTATAGCAAGAATAATGGTCAAAAATCAAGTATTTTAGGATCAAAAAACGGCACATCAATTTCCAGATAATATTAACACTAATAAGTCTAAAAATCTAACCAAATATTGACATTTTTAATGTGTTATAAGTCTACTGACGAGGTGGCTGAGAAAGGGGATGAACCCTGAAACTGGTATCACCAAAATAGTATAAATAAAAATAAATAATTGGTTGATTGCAGAACCACCTAACCCAACTTTATACCCACGCTAATATGGAAACATACATATCAAAATAATTAGCTCATTTATAGCAACTTTCGAACTCTCGTATTTTATATTTG